TCCTTATTATATCAATAATAGAGAAAGGACATAAGAAAAATGGATAAAATCTAGGTGTTTATATGAGGAACTATATACATGTGAAAATTTGCAGAGGAGTGCTATAAAATGTGGACAGTAGAATAAATGATCAAGGGAGATAAAATAAATAAATTGAAGAGATAAAATCTGAGAAAGCAAACAAGAATTAGAAGCATCTTGCAGAAGTCATAAAAGGAAATAGAAAACTATTATTTTAAAGTGCCAAAGTAGGATGTGTTATTGCAATGTTACAAGTCTAGAAGTATGTAAATTTTGGTAGCAATTTTTGTGATGCCAGTTACCCATAAAAAATTTTAATGGCTCCACAAGTTGTATTAGCTTGCATATAATAAAAATATAATAAATTAATGAGAATATAATACCATCTTCATGTCTAATAGATAGGGCCTGTGTATGCAATATTTTTGAGTTTAGATTATATTAAGGGTCCCTATTGTTTTTGATATTTAGAATGTATATATTTGACTATGAGTCTAGTTACACAGATGAAAAATGAAACCACGATGTAGGCAATAAGGATTTTTTCAAACACAGTGTAGTACTCTTAGATATTATTCGGTCATTTAAGAAAAGGTGACTGTTTGGGGGCTAGTAGGTGGTGTGGTGGTTAAGGCACTGGACTCCTGTATGGCCAACTGTGGTTCAAGTCCCAGGCCCAATGGCTTAAAATCACACTGAACATGTATATGTGCGTCCACAAAATCCTGAAAGGAGAATGGAGGAAAAGGAATTGCACTGCTCATTCCCCCCCAGAGGGTGATTTCTCACCTTCCCTCTTTCTGTCTTTCTCTCTCTCCAGTGAGTACAGGCACTCTATGGCAAAAAAATAAAAAAAACAAAAACAAAAACAAAAACCCCATGTTTGTTTTAAAACTTAACTGAACCATATACTTGCTCTGTTACCTAAATAACCTAATTTATCAAATGAAAACCTCAAGGCTGGCCCAATAGCCTTGTGGTTACTGAAGCTGGATCCCACATGGCTGACCACAGTTTGAATCACAGCCAGGTGGCTCTAAAACCACATGAAGCATATATGATACCCTGACGAAGGGCAGAAATGGAGAAGGAACTGTGGCTTGGCCTGGCAGGGAGTGCTTTCTCTTGTTTCCTCTTTCTATCTCTTCAGGGTGAGCCTCTAGTAATTAAAAAATTAAAAGTTTAATTTATCTGAGCATATAGAAATAGTTATCAATCATCAAGAATTCTGATACATTATAAATGATTATAATTAACATGGCATCTTATACTTTCTTTTTTTTTCTTTCTTTTTTACTTTTAGAGGTTTTTTTTCCTGTAGGGCACGTACACTCGTCAGAAAGACAGAGACAGACAGAAAGCAAAAAATCACCCCTCGGGGGGATGGCCACACCGCAATCCCTTTTCCTCCATTCTCCTTTCACGGTCTTGGGCATGCATGCACACATGCCTGGGATGAGTTTAAGCCACCAGGTCTGGGACTTGAACTGCGGTCAACTACATGGTAGTCCAGCGACATAGCCATTACGCTAACTTCTGGTCCCTTGGCATGTTATACTTTCAGAACATACACAGCGTACATGCATAAATGTAGCTTTGTGGTTTTTTTTGAATTTAGCTTGCTATTAAGGAATTCAGATATGCTTGTTCTTTCAAATGTTTGCACCGTTTTTATTCTTTTTAAAACTGGGCATAAAGATTTCGTACTTCTGTATACTCTGATTAATTTTATGCAGAAATATTTATTGCTTATTTAGGGCTCAGTTTTATCCACAGTTTCAATACTGTGGGGTACATTATCAAGATCTATTGAATTGGAACAGAAATAGCAAAATATTTTCAATAGTTTTGGATCAGTTCTATGAGTTGGTGCAGATTGAAATCTGCCATGCCAGACAATGCATTTTTCACCCATGCAACTAATCCACTATGAAATTACTAGTTGTTTTTTAAAAAAATAGATTCACAGTTCTTCAAATTTTAATGTGTCAATCATTCAAATTCAGCTTTGAATATCTGCTGACATTAGTCAACATCAAAAGAATAAAACAAAGAAACTGAACTGATTTTCTAAGTGTGATTTAATTAGTGACTTCAACAAGACAATAAGTTACTCATCTTTTGCCTTAATGGTTACCCATTAGTAAGTGGTAAATTGTATCTTACTTGTGACAGTAAGAATAAGACAACAATCAATGAAGTTACTAGCCCCATCTGCTAAATAGCAAGAAAAAAATTAATGAGAAAGGAATAACAATGTTATTGACTTCTTTTGAGAGAGAGAGAGATTTTTGCTTTAAGGTATGTACACTCAACTGAGTTAAGAGAGATAGAAAGCAAGAAATCACCACCCAGGGGGTATGGCCATGCTACAGTCTCCTCTCCATTCTCCTCCCAGGATTTTGGGCACACAGGGACATGCATCTGGTGTGAGTTTCAAACCACCAGGCTGGTCATGTGAGAGTCCAGTGTTTTAACCACTATACCATCTGCTGTCTCCAACAATGTTAATAACTTTTAAGACTATGAGGCCCCATTGCAGTGGTACAGGTGGTAGAGTGGAAATGGGTGATACTGGAGCTATATGGGAGGGACCTGAACATTTATGGAGCACTCACATATGCCTGTTATCCTGGCTGACTGGGAAGCTTGCGGGATGATTCCAGTGTGCCAACACTCTGTCAAGGGGATCTATTGCTCTTTCTCTCAAAAAAATTAACTTTTTTTTTAATAAAAATTTGAAGAGAGACGGGTTTTTTTGTTTGTTTTGGGGGGGGGCGCGGAGGTTTTTGCTATAGGGCAAAATCAGAAAGCAAGAAATCACCCCCCAGGGAGATGGTCATACCGCAGTCCCTTCTCCTCCTTTTTCCTCTTGGGATCTTGGGTATGCACACACACACGCCCAACGTGAGTTTAAGCCACCGGGTCCAAGACTCGAACCACAGTCAACTACATGGGAGTCCAGTGACACAGTCATTTTTGGCAACTGCTGGTCCTGAAGGAAGCTAATTCTAATCATTCTATAAACAAGCATTTAAAAGATTTGTTTCTTTGGGTGTCAGAGGGTACAGTGGCTGGCCAGAGAGAGAGGGATAGAAAATACTCCTAATAGGGCATGGTCACACAGCAGTCCTTTCCCTCCCTTTCCCCATCTTGTCAGGGTTCTCGGTGCACGTACACATTTGCCCGGCATGATTTTCAGGCTACTGAGGCCAGTTCAAATCATGGTCAGCAATGTGGGATCTGATTTCCAGTGAACAGCATCTATCCACAGCATTGCAGGGCTGGTCCCATAAACAAGCTTTTGAAGTTTGTCAAGCAACAAATTCAATGTTGAGTTACGCTTTTGGAAGAGAATTTCTTTAATAAGAGAATATTGAGGAATATTTAAAGGAATACAATGGAGCCAAGGGAGTAAGAAATAATTAATGGAATCATTAAGTACGTTTTAACTTGTTTTACTATGAGGGGCATGGTATCAAGAAAGAGAAAATACGCCCAGCCATGGTGGTACAGTGGCAGTGCAATGCCCTACTATGCTGGAGACCATATATAGGAGGTTGGGGGTTCGATTTCACGTCAGTCTGCACTTGTTGGGTACACGCATGCCTGTGATCCTACTAGTTGGAAACGCTAGGAGGAAGACTCTAATGTAAGACCCTGTTGAGGGTGATTTTTCTCTCTCTCTTTCAAAAGGAAATAAATAAATAAAGGAGATACAAAATTGATTAGAGGTTATATAGTTATGATAGCACCAAACATCCCAGCTTTCACTAAATTGGTATTACTGGTACCAGCAGGTGGCAGGGAGGTTAGGGCGCTGGATTCCGCAACTGGAGTCCTGGACCCTGCGCTTTGAAAATCATACTGGGTGCATGTGCTTGTGTGTCCAAAATCCCAAAAGGTGAACGAAGAAGGGACTGTGGTGTTGGCCATCCACTCTCAGGGGGTAATTTTTCCCTTTCCTTTTTGCTCACTGTCTGTTTCTGTCAAGCAAGCATAGGCATCCTATAGCTAAAAAAAAAAAATGAAATAAATAAAACATTACAATAAAAAAAAGAAATGGCGTTAAGTGAAGAACAGCATAATCTTACACTGCTGTTCACTTAACCAGGACATGGAAGACGATAATAAATGGAGAGGACCAGAGAAGCAAGGAGTGAGCCAGAATGCAGAGTACATGGATGATATGCAAAGATTTTATACTGAAAATAATATTGTGTTTTGTTTACTTCCCATTATTCAAAATATCAATTTCCAGCTTGGCTTCCTAAATTACTGTTGGTGCTTTAAATTAAGAACAGTGAGGTTATGAAAGTCTTTTTCTTAATGATAATATATCCTGAAAGGAAGTGAAGTTGAAAGGCAAGATGTATTTAAATGTGGTTAGCATTTGTGTGTGTAATCTACTGAAAAATAAACTGAAATTTGACTTGTAATTGCAAACTCTCCTCTAAAGGAAAATGTGCCTTTTGAAAGCGATAATACATTCTATTTAATGTGGTACTCATTTGAGAATTCCAACAGCTGAATTTTAGCCACTTTTAGCTTACTTAACTTTCCTAGTATTTCACTTTCCTACTAGTAAGTCAATAATATTTTTGCCTCTAGGAAACATTGTAAGGGAACATTTTTTTTTTCCCTAAACAACTTAATACAAAATGTACTGAGAAAGTATTTTTTTGTAATTTGAAAAATACTCAAGCAGTTATTCTTTCTTATTCTCTTTTTTTCTTTTTGCTCTCACTGCATTTATTTAATTTAGTTGGAACATGGGCAACTATTTTTTTTCCCCCAATGCAGGTCTCAAATTCATTTTTTCCCATTGTACTTTTCCTGTTGGCCAAGCTAGCGGAATGATTCCTGGTGATCATTTGAAACCCAGCACTGAGTCACCCTCAGAGGAAGACTGTACCACATGCAGAGGTTTGGGGCATATATGTAAGAAGAGGACTCTGGCGTATGGACGGTGCCTTGGCTTTACTTTCATTTTCCTTTTATTTTCATTGACAGTAAAATTGTCTGAAGAGTACAATTAAGAGTGTATTAATAGAAATAACATTAATAGAAGCTTGGTCATAAATGATAATAGTCATAATAAGTATCTCTCTTACCAAGGCATTCCACACAGAGAGAGAACAGCACAATAAATAAAGAACTTCTCGTTTGTCACACAACAAATAAAACAGAATTGCCATAACAAAAGCATGATTTTTATAAATGTGCATATACTAAAAATAAAAGTAAAAATAGAGCATGCACTGGAGGCAAAAGCTAGAAATCGTTAGAGCAAAAGAAAAAAATTGCAAAAGGTAAAAATGTTCAAGTACTGTGAGAAGAGAGGGGAAAATTCGAATAGGACGGTTTCAGAATAAATCAGTTATATTTACTACCCTAGGAGGGACGCTGACGTAACTGTCTTTGTCCATCAATACTTGAAGCCGTAGCATACATAATTATCCATTTAAAGGACAGATTCCATTTCCATGGACTGAGTCTCATATTACAAAGATGGTATAAAGTTTTTCCCTTAATTACAGGTAGACACTAATACTGTAGATGAAATATTCCCAAGAACAGGCCAGTACAACGCCCTGCAAAAGTACAGCCCTTGGAGTCAAGACACATTGGCTTTCGTCTTGTTTTCATCATCGTGAAAAATGCATTGGAGATAAGTCATCTCATATTTTTCAAGATACCTCCCAGTTCTACAATAAAATTTCATTTCATTTTTCAACTTTGTGGTACGAGTTAAACTGCCAGAGCTAGCAGAAAGCGGTGAAAGTAATAATAACAACATAGCTTAACATTTCGAATAACGCTTACTTATTTCAGAAAGTATTGAAGAAGAAGCTGGATCACTTAATGGGGCTAAGAACTGAGTAATGCTCTTGGGGGGGGGTGTCTACAGCAAAATCATTCTTCACCAACATAACTAGTCTAAGCAGTGCCTTTATACTTCACGGTGGAACAGCATCTCAAATCGAAACAGTGCCTAATTTCTACATGATTAGGAGAGACATGTTTGTCATGGGAGTAAAAAAATAAAATTTGTTTGTTAAATTACACATAAATATAAGGTACAAATGTATTTTTAAAATACAGATTAAAATAATCACACTTGCATTGTGTACATACGAAAATACAGTATTTAATATTCAATATACACAGACACATTTATGATAAATGCAACTATTTGGCCACGCCAGGTTCGTTCAGGGTTTTTTTTCCCCGTCCCCCATTTCCAAACATATGGAAACAGAAAGGCCCTGCTCACATCTCCTAGCTCTGGCGGACATCTTGAAGCAGTTTGTTAATCTCAGCCACCAGCTCGCTGGCGTCCATGAGTTCGTGTTTGCCATCGTTGAGGTGGTTGAGCACATTGTCAAAATCATCTTCTTCGTAATTTTCAGGGATTTCCTCCATGGCTGGCAGCCATTTGGAAGAAGGCTGCACGCTGGAGTGAGTCCCAAGTGGGGGCCCAGGGTTGTTGGTGGGGTTTTGGAAATGCGTACTGGCCGCCCAGGCTGCCACTCCTTGTGGGTAACCCACAGTTTTGGCTGGCAAGGGTCCCTTCCGGCGTTCCAGGGAGTTGGAGCGATCCCCCTCGGTGCACTCGGAATAGGTGTCCAGGGAAGGGGGCAGCAGGCGCTGGAACACACTGCTCATTTCCGAGAGCAGCGAGGACGTGCCCGCATCCCCGCTGTCCTCCTCGTGCGGGGAGTCCTTCCCAAAGGTGGAGAAACTCTTCTTCTTCTCGCTGGAATCTGCAGGCTGGGTGTCGTCCTCGAGTCCCTGGTGCGGGTGCTGCTGCTGGGGCTGCGAGGGGAACTCCTCTCCCGGGATGAACATGTTACTCCTGTAATCAGAGGACGGCGAGGGCAGCGGTGGCATCCAGCACTGGTCCGAGTGTCCCAGGACCCTGCACTCCTCCGTGCAGAGCCTCATGGCTGCAACGAGGAGAACACGGGGGCTCGTTACTCTACTCAGAAAGGCTCCACATGACAAATACATGTAATGCTATTTTTTAAAAAAGGATTATTCTATTTATTTTATTGGTTGTTATTATATAATTTGGCCAGAGAGACAGAGAGAGAAAGGGAAAGTGAGAAAACAAGTCGCCAAGTCCAGGACTCAAACCATGGTCAGCCATATGGGAGTCCAGTGCTTTAACCACCATGCCACTTGTGGGTTTTTGTAAAAAATACCATGATGGACTGGCAAGTGGAGTAGTGGTTAAGATGCTGGACTCCAACATGGTTGACTGTGGTTAGGGTCCCAGACCTGGTGGCTTGAAAGGTGTGAGTGCATGTGGGTCCAAGTGCCCAAAATCCCAAGAGGAGAATGGAGGAGAAAGGACTGTGGTGTGGCCATCCCCCTGCTCCCGTAATTTCTCACTTTCTGTCTCTCTCGGACTCTCCAGTGAGCACATGTGCCCTATAGCAAAAATCTCTAAAAAAAAAAAAATAGAAAAAAATGGAATGAGACTGTTTTAAGCTATTACCACGATGCTAACCAATTATTGTACATTAGTGGGACTACAATTATAGCTTTAATTTGAAAACAAGTTTTTATGAACCTCAGTAAGTTATAGTGTAGTGTTTTTTCTTAGTTATCCAATAAGGAAAGGAGAGTGCCATCCATGTACTTCTTAGAAATAATCTGCTACTCAAATAATTGGGAAATTAATTAATCTATACATGAAAATGAGTGGAAAAGAGTTAATGTATGGGTGATGAAATAAATGCCGAACATAAATTCTAAAAGTAGATTTACAAGGGAAACTCCTAACCTGAGAATGCCTTCCCACAATCCTTAACTAATGAAAAAAGGATTATTCTATTTATTTTATTGGTTGTTATTATATAATTTGGACAGAGAGACAGAGAAAGGGAAAGTGAGAAAGCAAGTCTCCAAGTCCAGGACTCAAACCATGGTCAGCCATATGGGAGTCCAGTGCTTTAACCACCATGCCACTTGTGGGTTTTTGTAAAAAATACCATGATGGACTGGCAAGTGGAGTAGTGGTTAAGATGCTGGACTCCAACATGGTTGACTGTGGTTAGGGTCCCAGACCTGGTGGCTTGAAAGGTGTGAGTGCATGTGGGTTCAAGTGCCCAAAATCCCAAGAGGAGAATGGAGGAGAAAGGCCTGTGGTGTGGCCATCCCCCTGCTCCCGTAATTTCTCACTTTCTGTCTCTCTCGGACTCTCCAGTGAGCACATGTGCCCTATAGCAAAAATCTCTAAAAAAAAAAAAATAGAAAAAAATGGAATGAGACTGTTTTAAGCTATTACCACGATGCTAACCAATTATTGTACATTAGTGGGACTACAATTATAGCTTTAATTTGAAAACAAGTTTTTATGAACCTCAGTAAGTTATAGTGTAGTGTTTTTTCTTAGTTATCCAATAAGGAAAGGAGAGTGCCATCCATGTACTTCTTAGAAATAATCTGCTACTCAAATAATTGGGAAATTAATTAATCTATACATGAAAATGAGTGGAAAAGAGTTAATGTATGGGTGATGAAATAAATGCCGAACATAAATTCTAAAAGTAGATTTACAAGGGAAACTCCTAACCTGAGAATGCCTTCCCACAATCCTTAACTAATGCCTTTATGTAACTTTCTCAATATTGAGGTTATCTGACCTCCATTAGTTCTATCAAGTGCTTATACTTACTAATCTCTCTTAAGGTTTTATAACTTTTTTATTTACTTGTTACTTAAAATAGTAGCAAAAAGTATCCTTGATTCCTGAGCATCTGCAGTTACCCTATTAAATCTTCTTTTAAAAGTTCAAAATATATTAATATCCAAATACATGGAAAAGTCATCAAATGATGAAGAATATGAAAAATACATTCCATTAGTTCTTCCAGATGTTCTGATGCCATATTGGAATGTAAGGCCACACTCAGAAAATAAGTAATATGAGAAACACAAAAAAATAAAGAGGAAAAACTCTCTCTAAACATGGCAAATACCATAACTAAACTGTACTTATTTCAGTGAGAATGAAGTCTCTTCGATAGCATGGTTTTGTTACAGTGCAAGTAGAACACAGGAAATGCAAAGTCATTCTCTTAGATTGAAAGAAAAATTATTGATAGCAGCCATACTTACATATTCAGAACTGATTTTGCAGATCTGGCTACTTAGGAAAGACTTCCTCCCAAATTATTGCCAAGATAAAGGATGTAAGAAAAAATGCAGAGAAAAAGTGTGGAGCCCAATTTCATGTGAATCAGGGTGGAGTAAGAGTGGGTGAATATGGAGAAACATCATATAATTTTGCTATGAAGAAAGGTCAAATTTAAATAAGCAATAATTTTTTTGAGAAGTTGTTGCTGTAGGGCACATGCGCTCGCCAGAAAGAGAGAGACAGAGAGACAGAAAGTGAGAAATTAGCCCCCAGGGAGGATGGCCATGCTGCAATCCCTTCTCCTCCATTCTCCTCTCGGGATCTTGGGCACACATGTAAATGCACCCAACATGAGTTTAAGTCACTGGATCCAGGACTCGAACCGCAGTTGACTATATGAGAGTCCAACGACATAGCCATTATGCTAACTGCTGGTTCCACAGGAATTCTTTAAGAATAAAAGTGTGTTTAGTTATCCTGACATCATGAATCATTACTACTTGGAAATATTAATCAACTATTGTTTTGCATCATTTGATATTGACAAGAACGAAAGGAGCTGAAAGTAACTAGAAACCCTTAATAGTGATGAGGTTTTCTCAACAGTGGAATAACTATCATAGCAGTAATGATTTTTTTTCTTAATTCCTTGAGACTGAAAATGGAAATGAGATCTCAACAGTGGAATAACTATCAGAGCAGTAATGATTTTTTTTAATTCCTTGAGACTGAAAATGGAAATGAGAGCTGTCTGTATTGTCTTCCTCACATCCTGTTAGAAGGAAGGAGAAGAGAACTGCTGAACACCCTTCATTTGTTTTCTGGCCTTTAACTCTGTGGTTTTAGGCTTGGTAAGGACTTAGCTGTCTGCCTGGTCAGATTGGCTTTGTTTTTGTTTAATGTTGAATAATGGAGACCTAGAGGAAAACTTACAGTTTTCTAGGAATCCCGGACATAACCAAGTTTTCTGGGAACCTAAATATAATACATATTTAACAACAATATAACACAACCACACAATTTGAATGATTACTGTAATCTGACAGTCCATCCTCAAAAATAATATTTGTCATAGAATTTTTTTAAGCTGTGAATGCTGTTTACAAATCCATCCCATTAAATAATTGGAGCTTTAATTACAAAATGATACATTAACTTAAAAATTAGTAATGAGAAAATGGGGACAAATTTTAAAAACTAATGGAGAGGAGGATGGCAAAAATACTAGAGAAAAATATTGTAGTGGTGTGGAGAGGGCATTTTTTTACAGTTTTATCAATATTTTCAACCTTTTCCCAGGAAACTCAACTATTTGGAAATATTCTCAGTGGTGCATAATTTAGCCCCACAAAAGTTCCACACTGAATCTAAGGGATCAGGATTTGCTGGCCAGTGTTACAAGTGACTAATCTTTCTGTTGTTCCTCAAAAGCTCTGCCAGGAGGTTAAATTTCTTCTGAGAAGTGTGTACATTTTGGAAGCAGAGGACTCTTCTTTCCCACTACAGTAATTCCTTCTTTGGCTTTATATATATGTATGTATGTATGTGTGTTTTATATATATGTATATTATATATATATATATA